TTATATTTATTACACTTAAGGTATTGTTTATATAAAATTGGAATTATATCTTTATAATATTCTTACGAATTGATTTGGAAAAAAGAGGGGAATATATTTACAAATAAATTTATAATTAGGTTAAGAATATATTCAAAATCTTTGTATGAAGCAATTAACTTACATTATTTATAAAATTTACAATTTATTATCTATAAGACAATATATTTTATACGACTGCATATGTGTAAGTTGCAGTTAGACTAAAATTGGTATGGTTGAAAATATTTAGAATTGTGTGATTGTATGATTAATTTTAGAGTATAAGTGTATGATAGGGTGCTCTACCAAGGAGTGAATTATAGGGGGGCTATTCTTAAATATTAAAAGATATAAGGGGAGTGTGTAGATTAGGAAAAATATTTATAAGGGAAGAGAATTTTAGGGAGATATAATAGGTGATTTATGAAATTTTGGAGCACGCCCTTGGTGTGTGGGTGTTTGTGCGCGCACACTCAGGTTGAGTCTTTTTCCATCCTTTTTTTCAGGGTGAACTGAAAGTGTCAGAATCCTGTTCACTTTTAATAACTTTTTTAAAATTTGGCTAGAAATACTCAACTTCTTGACAGCAGTTGGAATGCATCTAATAAATCCTTGGCCATCTTGACTAATGCTTCTTCAAAACCTGCAGTCTTAAGGTTTTATATTCTGAAACTTGGTAATTTTATTAAACATTCAGGCAAAAATTAATCTTAAGCAATCACCTAGAATTGAAATACGGCAGGCAAGGAAAACCTATCTGCAGGAGAAATGAACAAGGCAAGTAGGATCCAAGAGATTGGGCAGTTATGATAAACTGTCACGAGACAAAAGAAAAAAATGAAATATTCTTTATTGAAAAGTATTCGTTTTCGAAGTTTTCCATTTCCAGGTAAGCCATAAGAACATTTTTCCCCTTCCAAACATTTCTTTTTGCAGTCCTTGTTTCAACTAATAGGGTGAAAAATACTGCAAAATTCCGATTCTCATACAGAGTCGTTATGGATAAATGGCATCTAAAGGGTCCCAAGGCTCCTCACACACAGAAGTTATTCGTTTTTAAATACCACAATCACTTTCATACGAAAAGGATTAAAAGCTGAACAATAAAACAAAAAGCTTCTACAACTATTTTAGGTACTCGCATAATAAAAAGGAGAAGTATTTACATGGAAATATCTACAATAGAATCTAAGTGCATCTGGCGCACCAAGACTGAGCAACTGAAAGGAACACTGGGGGGCTACCAGCCTCACAAAATCAAATTCCCCACCCTCCCTTAATTTCCTACGATTCTTCTTGGTCTTCAATCTTTGGGGCCAAATAATATTTCAAATGTCCCATATCTGCTATCTTGTATTCCACAACTGCAGGAGACAAAAAGAGAGCCAAGGAAAACAGTTAATGGCCAGCCTGAAGCCTTCAATCAAATCAATGAAAATTGCCTTTGGCATCATTTTTCAGCGAGACCCGCAATATTCCACTCACCTAAGGGAACATCCGCAGACATACTGAGTATAACTGTGGGAGACAAAGGTGTAGCTTTGGTGAAGAAATTCAAATATCTCAAAGCGAAAGTCAGCTGGACAGCTTCATTCATTTCTATTGATACCTGCAAAAAATGAATGACGATTAAAGAACCAAGAGGAGAGAGAGCGCAATGATAACAAAGAGAGTTTAAGCTTCCTCGGGGCCTACTTACAGCTTCCTCCTCTTTATCAACAACACTGGTTTGCGACAGTTTGACGTTTCCACTCCCAAGTTCTCCTGTGGCGGAAAATTTGACACCATCTTTTGTGCAGCAGATTACAACGGCATCTCCGATGTGACTGAGGTCGCGGCAGATACGGGCAAATTCAGCCGAAGGCATTTTCACCACGCAGCTGTATTCTTGTTCCTGAAAGATTGTATAAGCTTTAGGAATTGTAGGACTCGTTTAGGCTAAAGTCAACACCTGGATTGTGCTCCATTTCTTCTGGGACAGATACTAGTAGGGCCAGTGAAACAGATGCAAATCAAATGAAAATTAACAAGAGAAGCAAATATTTATTTTTCCAACAGTTTTAACAGGTAGTCCCTGGTTGGTGACCACCTTTTGCAACCTTCTGCTAAAGCAAAGACATTGGGCAAGCCAGATTTCACTTGTTAGCAACACCACTCTTACTAACAGTTGAGGACTATATGTATTTTACCGTTGCATATTCTAATGGCTTTAAGCACAGGATTAAAAAATGTTAATTTTATGAGTTAAGTTTTAATCACACTCCTGCTTCCAAACTATAATACAAATCTGCAACACAAAACTTAACATTTATTTTTAATCTCCTCCGCATTAAGAGTAGATGCCTGTATCAAACTGCTTGTATAGTCAGTTCCTACTTAACCGTAACCTGTTCAAGTATCCATATGAATTCCCGAGGCACTCTACGTATGTCTTAAGTTATGGCCATGGCAGGAAGTCCAGTCACATACTGTATTTTTTGGAGTATAAGACACACCTTTTTCCCTTAAAAAAGAGGGTGAAAATCTGGGTCCGTCTTATACACTGAATACAGCATTTTTGGCCTCCCGAAACCCCGCCCTCTTTGCAAAAATGGCAGTGCATAGCTTTTAGGAGGCTTCCAGAGAGCTGGTTTTTTTTGCTCAAACCCCCCCCCACACACACACACACTACAGGGGCACTCTACAAGCCTCCTACAGGCTATGCATGCCCCTTTGACAAAAATGGGTCGGTTTTGGGAGGTCTGCAGAGTGCAATCTTTTTTTAAATTTGCCTCTTCAAAATCTTGGTGTGTCTTATACTCTGAAAAATACAGTAATCAAAATGTGGCTGCTTAGCTGCCTGCTCATGTTTAGGACCACAGGATAGATTTCAACTTCTCCCTATCTGCCCTTTTGGCCACTCTGCCACCTTCCAAAGGGTTAAAGTTGGGCACGCCTCATCAACAGTGGGGAGAAGACAGGAGGTCACCTGGGAGGCTGCAGGGAGGCGGAGTTGAAGAGAAGGCAACAAGGTAGGAGAAGCATGAGATCCTAGCTTGACTTTACTCAGGACTACAGAAACTGCTGTTGCCAAGTGATGCATCTATTTCACCTAGTGACTAAAATTCTGGTCTTAATTAGGATCACTAAAGCAAGGACTACCTGTATCAAAATGGCAAAATAGAATATTAGCAAGCACAGTAATGCTTTTGATTGTTGCAGCTGCTGTAGATTCAGTCAAAAGAGAACAAGCCAGCCAGTCTTTAACCATCCAGGATAGCGCTTACATTTAACTAATTCAATAATGGTACTTTCGAGATAAAAACCCACTTACTGGAATTCCAAGCTGTTCTACGTCCAAATCCATTAATTTCATTTCATAGTCTGAAACCTTCTCCTGATCTGTTAAAAAAAAAAAAAAACATTGCTTACCAGAACAAAGTAATTTCCTGACCCAATACTGTTTACTAGCCCTAATCTGCAAAGCTATCTGAATACGTATTAAATAAAAGACAGCAACAAAACCAGTCTTTGATCGTAATCTCACTGCTTGGCAACCTGTTCGCACTTCAAACCAGTTGCCAAATTCTCTGTGCTCCTGTGGCAGTCAGTGGGGAAACTGCCAGGGGGGAGCTGCTCGTTTCTGCCTGCCAGATTGCAGAGGAAAGGGGCTGATTGCCAAGAGGAGGGGAACTCCTCCAAAAACCTGCAGAAGGGAAGGTTGAACCTTTGGGATTGAAGGTGTTTTGGCAGCTCACTGCAGAGGGAGGGGAGATCCTGCAACGACAGATCAAAGCTTTGCTTCTGCAACCTGATTGGAGTTCCTTCTGTGCAGGGAGGGAAGCTGCCTGGCCTCCTGCTGCAGGCAGCTTTTGTGTTGCAGTCGCTTAATGACCAAAAGAACAGGGAATGTGGCTGCTGAACCAAGAAATCATGTGGGATATCATAACCACCAAAACTCCAGTCCAACTGTAGTCCTAAGTCAAAGGCATAGTAGATTGAAAATGCTGCAAACAAGTCTTCATATAATCAGCTTCTGATTGGAATTATATTTAAAAATGTTTTATATTTCAAACCATTCACATCAAACTGCACATTTAAGTCTGATTGTGCAGGTTATGTTATTTTTATATTATATAATGAATGTTCAAGTTCAGTTGGAAGCTGTCATCAATATGACATTAAACACAGGAGTAAAAAAAATATTTTGGTAAGTGTTAGCAGACTGGCAATCAATGCATCTTATGGAGCCTTAAAATTTGTTGTTTTAGAAGCTCAGCTAAAACTGCCTGCTCTGCTGCAGTTTGCACTGACTGAAGCTTCCAGATACTCTTTTAGGGCAGCCCCATGCAAAGCACAATAATCCAATTAGATGTAATTAGGCCATGAGTAACTGAGCACACCTCCCCCCTGTTCCAATTGAGGAGTGGACACAACTGGTGAACAACTTGAAGCTGTGGCAAAGGCTCTCCTAGCCATGGCTGCCACCTGCTGTTCTAGCTCAAGTCCAGAAGAACAACCCCCCTCTCAGGTACAGGTGTAGAGAACCACCGACAGGATTATTTTGGAAAACATTCCTATATCTGACCACCATAAACAATTGATGTTCTAAAGGAATGTCACACACTAATATATCAGAATATTGCCTTTTGTACATATGCTTTCCAAATGATTTGTTGTGCAGCAATTAGCTTTCATAGCTTGCAATGTTCTTGTCATGTCTTTTCTTTAAATTGCCACATCTAAAACAACTTTTTATTCTGGTCTGCAAAAGTAAAATCTACCTGGACATAAATTTGGATGTTCTATATTCTTCAAAGGATTCCATTCTGACATCAGAATGTATCTTACCCTTTCTAGTTTCATTATGAATACCTACTGCCAAGAAGAGACAGATTTAATAATTCAGTTAAAACTTACTTGGTGTTTCAAATACCAAAACCAGTGTGTCAGCATTGTCTTCAGCTCTCAGGGTGATGATGTCATCATTCCCAGCACACTTGAGCACTTTGGACATACTAGGAAAGAACAAAAATGTATATTTCATTTTTTTGATATACTGTATTATTTGGACAATACACAACATGAGATACATTGAACAAGTCAGTGCAAGCTGATAAGATCAGTAAGCTGTTGTCCCAAGGGAAAAGCAAAAAGAAACTGAGTCAAAATTCAATTGTAAAAGCTTCCAGAGAACAAAACATGTCAACTTCCTAACTCTGTAGATTTATTTTCACATAAACCAAGCAGAAGCCTTTCTGTACAAAGTGGGCTTAGAAAACAGGCTTCCTTGCCTGCTTGGACCCACAAGCCACACATTTCCCAGCAAGCAATTCTGTTACTTTTTGGAAACACAACCGCATTATGTGTCAGTTTGGGTGCTCTGTGTTAAGCCTTATCAGATATCCAACAATATCCTCAACGTCCTTGATCCAGAAGGTATTACTTTAAAATCAAACACAACAGCATAGATTTACAGAATTTTATTTCCTGATCCAAAAATTGGTTTTGATCCAGCCCCTTTCCTATCTATGATTAACGGTGGTCAGAAGTTCACACAACTCAACATACTTTCTAGGGGGAAATTTAGAAAGCACCTCATTGTCATTTCTGTATTATCATTGAGAGACATTCTGGAAAATAAGCCAGTTTTTCTGATGCTGGAAAAAAATATATGCCCCCCACCCCTCTATTTTCACTGATTTTTGTCGTAGACACAGAGAGGATTAAAGTGTTGAATATGTCAACTGGGAAAGGAGGACCCTCTAGCAACCTTGAATGTGCAGGCATTGCAATAAACTTGTAACAAGTTGCCCTGTTCTGGAACACAGGGAAACCCTGAGCAAAGATTTGGAAATTCCATCTGCAACAAAGGCCAGACAAACCCTAGCAAGGGGCACCCTATGCTGTCTTGAGCTTGGGAGTCCCAAAGGACTGCTTCCATCACAGAGGAAACCTGGCCGGGAAGGATGAGCCTCTTCACCAGGGGCTAAGAGGGACGCCTGCCCTGCCTTCTCCCCACCCCCTTCCTTTCCTAACCCCTTACATCCTGCACATAAATTGTTTCAACTTCTACCTTCAAAACGATACTATAGAGCACTGCAGACCAGAACGAGACACAAGGATTTTTTCCCCCAATGCCATCACTCTGCTAACCAACTAATTCCCACAACAGTCAAATTACTTATTCTCTTTCTTCCTACTGCCTATCTCTTCCCACTTATGACTATAACCATGTTGCTTGTATCTTCACAATTTATATTGTTTTTGTTTCCTAGTCTGATTTGATAGCTTATTTAGTATCCTATGATTATCACGAAGTGTTGTATCTTATGATTCTTGATGAATGCA